CGCAGGCCCACCCCCCCCCGGAGGCCTCCCCGCCTATCCACCCCCAGGCACCTCCTCACCCATGGTCTGGAAGGGCAAAAGGGGGGCCTGCTGTGCCCCCCATTTCCCCACAGCCAGCTCCCATCCTCTCCCCTCCCCTGCTTGCTTTTTTGACTCACCCCTCGCTCTGCCCAAAGCAGCCCCCTAAATCTGGGGTGGTGGTTTGACTATCCTGGGCATATTGGAAAGGCCCTTCTTCCCACCCATCTTGATCCAGTTCCCCCCCCTCGACAGCCAACAGCCGGGAGTTAAAACCTGAGAAAGGACCCACAGAGGCGGGTGGGGGGGCCTCAGGGGAGGCGAGCGGCACCTCCCCCACTGCCCCACACCACCCCTTCCACCTCCTCTTGCGCCACACAAAAAGGGCCCAAACGTTTTTTTTCCTCCATGAACCATGCTTGTTCTTGGAAGAATCAGAACCAAAGGATGGAGCCAATCCATTTAAACAAACCCTCTCAGGCAATCAATCGCTAAGGATTGTCACAACCGACATAAGGGGCTGTCACAACCGACATCCGGTCCCACCCATTGCAGGGCACACTCTTGAGCTGGGCAGGACGGAGGTGACCTGGGGACGGAGGAAGTCTCGGAGTAGGAATGTTGGCAAGTCCTTCAGTCCACATTTCCATGGCTCTGCTCCCCAACCACCCATGGGAGGCGCATGCACAGACATTGGGCCTGGAAGGGAAGCTGAGTCAGCACATGCGCGTAGACTTCCCTTCCTGGAGCTGGAACCTGCCTTTGTCAGCTCGGCAGCGAGTGCATTGATGGAGGGGGGGAAGCCGGCTGCTGGAAGGGAAGCTGCCTCTGAGGGTTACGGTGGTGGCAGGAACAGATCAGAAGGGACTCTCACAGGCTTATGAGAAAATCCCATTGTGAGTGGCACACAAGAGCTCAAAAAAATGGGTATAGCGGTTGATTGGTGGTCAATGGTAAAATTAGAATCAAGATACAAAAAAGACAGGACTGTGGGTTTTTTCAAGGGCAAAGTCCATGTGGACAGACTGTGGTTATATACGGACAAAGCAATAATTAAGAAAATGTATACATATCAAGAATGTATACATATCAAGAAAACTGACCGCCGAAGAATTGATGCTTTTGAATTGTGGTGTTGGAGGAGGCTCTTGAGAGTCCCCTGGACTGCAAGGAGAACAAACCTATCAATTCTAAAGGAAATCAACCCTGAGTGCTCACTGGAAGGACAGATCCTGAAGCTGAGGCTCCAGTACTTTGGCCATCTCATGAGAAGAGAAGACTCCCTGGAAAAGACCCTGATGTTGGGAAAGAGTGAAGACAGAGGACGAGATGGCTGGACAGTGTCATCGAAGCTACGAACGTGACTTTGACCCAACTCCGGGAGGCAGTGGAGGACAGGAGGGCCTGGCATACTCTGGTCCATAGGGTCACAAAAAATCAGACACGACTTAACGACTAAACAACAACAACAAATGTCTCAGAATAAATTATTCAGACTTTAAGTGCTGGTAAATAAAAAAAAGGAGAGGAATCTAGGGATTTTGCAGCTGTTTACTGTGAATCTCTATACTACTACATAATATAAAAGAATTTTACCAGAAAC